TTTTGATCGTCACGTTACACCTGATCTTGCATCCTGATTGGCCAATATCACAACTGTGGGGAGAAATTAGTAAATGCTTTAAAAAACAAGGTTCGCATTGTACAGAATGCAGATGCAGTATCCCACTTTGAATCACCTTAAACTTTTTTGATCGACAAAGAAAAAATCCAAATAGTATTTGTACGAGTCAAACACACATAAAACTTACGTATTCTGAAGCCAACTGAAGTGGAGAAGTGTACACAGAGAATGATTGGATGTTGACAGAATAAGATCGTATGACGGGAAAGTTGAACGATAATAATCGCACAAATGTAAATAAATTGCCTGATTGGTAACTAGCGTCGTGTTTTATAAAAGAATTTCCCATTCTTCCCATTCTTTCGTTATATTATTTAGTACGATAAATTGTCGTAATGTTTCAACCCGTTGGCCTTCTAGTTAGTGACTTTGATGAAACTATAACTCAACACGACTCTATTTGCGAAATAGCCAAACTCGCATACGAGAAGAGAGCAAGACAAGGAGAATGCCCAATACTGAACGAAAAGCTCGCGCCAGACAACAACGATGCTGGTGAATGTCCTCCGCCTTGGTCGTATTTTGTTGAAAAATATTTTAGAGACCGTAAGGAACACATTAAATTTTGGAACGAAACACATCCAGAAAGAACACTTCAAGACCACTATAAAATGTTGGAATCCTTAAGAGAAGTCGAAAAGAAATCATTAAATCGTGTTGAAAAATATCAATGCTTAAGTGGAATGCATTGTGATGAACTGTTTGAAACGGGGGAGAGGATACCGAAGCGAGATGGAGTAACAGAAGTTTTGAAAAGTTATTTACTAGAATGCGCGAATAGTAGCATTTCTCGATATTTTTATATCCTTTCTACCAATTGGTCGCGTGATATGCTATTGGGAAGTTTGAAGGATCTTGTAGGAATCAAAAGAGAACATATTTTATCAAATGACCTTATTTTTGATGGTACTGATTGTACTACAGGAAAAGTACAGCGTAACGTACTCTCAGCACTTGACAAGCTATCAATCTTTAGTAAATTGAAGATTCCACGAGGAACAATTTCAGTATATATTGGAGATTCCAATACAGATTTACCGTGTCTACGTAAGTTACATAATATTATATATATAAATATATATATTTTTATACGTATGTATTGAATATTTATTTTAATTTATTTTAAGTGGAAGCAAACGTAGGAATCATAATGGGAAACAATAATACACTTTCAAAAGATTGTGCAAAATTTGGGATCGAAATCGTTGAAGGGTTAGTTGGAAAAATTGATACGAATGATTTGATTACTACAAATAAGCGAAACTCTAAACTTTTTCGAGTTCAAAGTTGGAAGGAGATTTTAGATAGTGGGTTATTGGATTGGTAATTTATATAGTGAAGAATTTATTTGTACATTAGTACGCAGTATTAGAATAACAATTATAAGAACATTTATTCAGGCTTGTTATTTCTGTAAATATTTGATTTATGTATCCATTAAAAAACAACCATTATTTATGTAAATTGTGTTTTTTTTTTTTTATATTTTATGTTTTAAAATTACCAGAGTTTTTAATTACCCGAGTTTTTGATGATTAGTGTGGGTCGGGAGTTGGAAGATATAAAGTAAGTATTCAAATAAAAATAAAAGAGGCGATTTGATGTAGAGTAGCTGATGTGTCCGAGCGGTCTAAGGAGCCAGACTTAAGTTCTGGTATGCGTAAGCATGCGTGGGTTCGAACCCCACCGTCAGCAATATATTTTCAATAATTTTTTTTTAACGCCATAACCTCGGAAAAAAAGGCGCACCGACAAACACCTACCAATCAGATTGCAGTTTAATAAACCATTCAATTCGACTCGATTTCAATATTAACTTAATAATGTGTCACATGGCCCTGTGCCTCGTTTCGTAATAATATTGTAAATGTAGATGGTATTAGTGCAATCGGTAAAGTAATAAAATAATATACGTATAATAAATGATGTGTGAATTTCAAATTTATAACTAGCTGTAACGGTAATATATAAAAGAATAGATTCTAAATGCTGTATTGTGTTTTTGTTACTCTTTCACGCTTTCATTGACTAATCTTTATTTGTTGTACTAATGAAACCGAACCTTAACTCTTGTTTTCACTTTGAAATAATTCTATTTGACAACAATTTTGTAAAGCGAAAAAGCTGTAATTCTTGAATTTCGGATTTAACACTTCACGGAATGATGATAAGTGATATTTATGCTCACATGAAATTCTGTGATAATATAAAAAATATAAAGGCAGGAGAGCAGTGTTTCAATTACAGTATCCTGTAAAAGCGAATTTTCAGAGAATGAAGAATTACGATTTTCTGCTCGCGGCACTCAAAAATTAACGGTTAATAACCTGCTTTTTTGCAGTTGTGGTTACTTTATTGGTGAACATACAGTATATTAAGTGTCTCGGATGATGCTGAAATTTGGGGTCTCGATTTGAAAATACAAGCCCTATTAGAATTCACATATACTCTCTTATTAACTGCTCTAACTTATACATGCCGTAGAAACTAGTTGCGGCTATGCCAAAACTATTTCGCCATCGATTTTTTAGTAGAAATAGAGCCGCAAACCGTAACTCAAGCCGTAACACAAAGCTGAAACCAAAACCTATAATGAATGCCATAGCGATAGCCTAAATTAAAAACCGAAATTAAATATATAGAGGTTATCGAAAACTAATTGCGGCTTGCCGAAAATATTTTATGAACGTATCTAATTGTAACATGTTACACGCTTATTTGTAACAACTTATTTAGTACAGCCAATAAAAATCCGTGTAACCAAACCCTAACTCTAACTACAAATTGGCAATTTAAATATGTTACGTAGAAGCATTATGAATTTATATAGCTGAAATTACGTGGATCTTTGCTAGGAAAATCACACTCCGACATTTTCCGATCGGGCTAATTCGGAACATTTTAAACCAACATACCGATTCATATTTATATGTAAATCATTCCTTATTGATTCAATAGCTTATCGAATGAACACTTGAATCAATAAAGGTAAAAATATTTACATACAAATAAGTACCGGTATATGGGTTTGAATTTGTCCGAATTAGCCCGATCGAAAAATGTCGAAGGGTGATTTTCCTACGTAGCAAAGATCCCACATAGTTAATATAAACATAAATACATTTTAACAAACCAAGACCTATTTTATAGCCACTGTATTTATTTATGTTTACGGTACAGTACTTTATACGATTCGAAGAAATTTTTGTTTAGTTTCAATATCGGCTTTTGGACATTCAATAGCCAAAATGATTTTGGCTCCAAGATTTATCACATTCACATTTTGCTTAGCCTGGCCTTTTATAATATAATTTTATACTTCTTTTGAGGGTCTTCCACCTTGTGAAGAAGTAATAAAATTTGATGAAGCTGAATTCATAGTTTGAATTAAAGAATTTTAAAGTAATGTAGATATTTTTTTAATTTATTGACTTTTTTAATTTAATAATTGGTAACAGTATTTTTTTATATAAATCTATTTGCCTGATATAACGAATGATACTTTTATAAATTTTATACGTAATTTTATTTAACTGATATAACGAATAATACTTTTATACATAATAATGCAATTAATTTGGGCATTAATTTTGGCTTTAGATATTGGCTACGTGCGTATTAATTTTGGCATAAATTTCGGTTTTAGGTAATGCCGATGCCAAACATGGGTAAAAACTATGCCGAAATAGTTTCTACGGCATGTATATTCCAACCCTTAACCCTCAAAAAAAAGCCCCAAAATTTTTAAAAAATCGCACATGAAATAGATCCAAATTTTAACATCATCGTGACAATAATTTTTATCTCCGGCATTTAGGGCAAACATTCAAGTGAAGTCATAATTAGTTATTTAAACACATATCTTTTATTATTAAAATTTTACATAAGGTATAGAAATAAAAAGTACCCACGTATTATCAAATAAAAACCAACAAAGCGTTGAAAAATCTATAGTTTTTTAGGCTAATCCAATTATATTAATTAAACATAACGATAATATTCTTTGCCAATTTTCAATTCTAAAACCGAGAAGGCTACCAAAAAAGAAAGTAACGATAAAAGGCACCTTATGGTAGGACGATAATCTATTATATACTAAAAAGAAAAAAAAAAGGGTCTAATAAACATTAGTTAAATACTAGTCAAATGTTGTATGACTTTATCACGCAGCCTATTATTTGTTCCGCCAAGCATTTCTTTCGTTAGAAGTTGGTACTTAGACAAAGAATAAAGACTTAAAAAACACGTATCAAGATTAGTTGTTATTTCAATTAAGGTACGTACGTACATAAATAATCGACTATAAAATTTAACGGATTTAAGTCGATCAATTAATCTAAAAATATTATGTAATTACGTACGTACATGAGTTATATAAACAAATTTGATTAGTTAGATTAGTTAGATTAGTTAGTCGATGAGTTGACTGATCGACTAATTAGTCGAATTGTTACGTAGTCAGTTGATAAACGTAAGTTTTTGTCAACTAATTGACAAAAAAAACCTTTGATTGATTTCAATCCTTATTCTGAAGCCATTCCAATCCAAGTTGGAGTGGATTTAAAACAATCTGGAGTAGAATCTGGTGCAAGTCTAATTAACAGGAGTGGGTTGAAGATTGGATCAACCCTACCCAACCCATTAACAACGCTACTCTTTCAGAAGGGAGGTAACATTAATGTTCCCGAGAGTCGTTCCCCAAACATAATACTGATCTTTTTTTTGTCTCAAATATAGTTAATTTTAAAAAGGTATTATCTAAATAATAATATATCATAAATAAATGAAGATATAGGAGAAGAAACCTAGATGTTTTTAAGAACCAAAAAACGTACTTTCATTAATGTGTAGATGATGGTCGTTTGTGACGTTTAAGAACCGGAAAGTAAACAAAATATAGGAGAAAGCGAAACTGAAGAAAGAAAATATAATCAAGATCATGTCTAAACGCGTGAGGGAAAATCAGATCTATTCGCATGATAAACTCCAATCAGATCCAATAAATTAGTTAGAATAAAGAAATTTTGTTTCTTAGAGCACAGAGGCGGTTTTAAAGGCAAAATTTTGAGTTACTGGTATTTCTTTCAAAAAATCGTGATTTTCCTGAAAATCTTATTGGCATTGATTATTCAAAGACTTGATTGGTGATCCTCCTACTGGGGTATTAATTGCCCGAGTAACTAATTTATACAGTTAAAGTATTTTTTGAAAATGTAACGTTTCACTCATTCTACTAACAAACTCAACCCTTGATTATCTTTCGTTTCATAGGAAGTTAATATTTACTATGCAAAATAATACCAAAAATAATCCCGAAATAATCTTAAAATAATCCCAAAACAGAGGTACCTTACTATTTATTTGATTATTGTTAGCTATACTAGCTATATAAATTTATATGTCGGAATATCAAAAATAACTTGTTACAAAGACGATTTAAGGTGTTCAAGTGTGTGATTTTAAAGAATAACATATATATTGTTTAATTGATCATGTTAATAAGAATGATCTTAATCTTGCACTTATATTAATTGAATATTATGTATACTGCAGGCGTTAAATTCGTTAAACGGGTAGGCAGAAATGTATGCATTATGTAATTTAATCATATATATAAAAGTAGTAATATAATGTTACTAGTAAAGATGCGAAGACTGAAAAATAGAATAGAGTTTACTTCTTAATTAAAAAACAATAATAAATAGAAAGCTTCTCTTAACTTACTCGCATATTGAATTTATTTGATTGATTTGATTGGTCAATAGTCACGTTCGGATCGACATAAATCAGCCAATCAGATGAATGTCTTCCTATGAATCTTCAGATTAAATTCCATAAATGTACTTCTAATGAAGATACAGGTTTTACGAGCTCAAACTTGTTTAAGCTAAGTACAACCTGTAGCAATGAAAATCAGATTGTAATTATATAATAGGTGCGTTAGGTGCGATAAATAGCATAGATAAGCCAGAATGTTGGAATTTAGAAATTGGCGTTGATGCACTG